CCACGAAAGTTGGATTAAAGTACATAGTGACCCTTGGCCAAGCGACCAACTCTCGTGTGCCTGTCTTTCGTTGGGAGAACATGCAAATTGCCTCGTACGCATCGGCGACATACGGTTCCATCGGTGTATTTCTGTCGGATGCAGCTGCTTTTGGAATCTCAAAGCTCGAATCGCAGAGCATGAGCCCTCAGATGGGCGTTGTTCTCGAAAGAACTACCTCGACACTTATCGCCTAGAGCTCCCGCGCCTCGCTCTCGAATACTCCCATCGGTTTCTTCCTCGGCGCCGGGGGCTCTTTCTCGAGCGAGGGCACCGGCACCGGTAAAAAAGAATCGCTCTCGGTGTACTCGGGAACCTCTGGAGCTCTCTCCGTGGCGTCTGGTCGGGTGTCCTTCACGCTCGGTCTCACGGGTCCGTGCCTGACCTTGGACACAGCGTGCTCATCGTCGCTCGTTGCCGTGCATTTGGGAGCGTCAGCTCTCAAGCTCGCCGAGTGTCCCGAAGCAGCGGCGACGGGCGTTGGGATGCTGACGGCGACGGTGTCGATGGCTTTCTCGGCGGCGGGCATGCTCTCCGCTTTTGGACGCTGCCACACATTCGATCGTCGCGGAGACGGGTACTGCCGTGGGGAGGGCTGCGGCGCTTTTCGGTTGTCCTCTGGATGTTTGGAAATGTCAGTTTTGGGCACAGCTGTGCAGCAAGACGGTCCGAGCGCGAGCCTGACGGCACCAAATGGGTCATCGCAAAGACGACTCATCGATGCTGTACAGGCAGACACGGTTTTAAAATTTCGAGTTCTAGAGGCGCATGGCACTGGCACAGTTCTCGGCGATTCTATTGAGGTGACCGAAGTTCTGGTTTCTGAAACCCACGTGGCGTCGTTGATAGGTTGGTGCTGTAGTGAACGCTATATCTCTCAACTCGCACATTTGAGTTCCTGTGGCAGAAACTACCTGCTTGAAATCAAACATGGGGCATCTGGAGCCGGCCGCTTCGGCCTCGTCCCTTGCGTCTGTGATTCTTGTTTTCTTCCTGACATCCGTGTTAGCTGTTAATGCATAGTTGCGTCGGTCGTTGGTCCACGAGCGCCTAGGAGTGATCTCCATGTCATGTCTCTAGGCTAAATGCGCACCTATCATGATTTTCCTCATTTCACATGCCCGCCGAAACGGGAATGGTGTCGAAGTACACGAGCAAAGACACCACTCGTGCTTTCCCAGCTTGAACCAATTCATTTGGCTTTAGCGGGACCATCGCTCATGCAGGATTTCTTCAAGGAGGCCCCCACAAGAGGTGTCCAGCAGATCACTGCTAACGATAGATAACCTCAGTGTTTTGAAATCAAATCATTGATAAGCAGGATCAAAACCGATCCCAATCACCAGAATCCACATAAGAAAATGTAATGAATACACTCGAGAACCTGTTCGGCTCAGAACTCAAGATTGACACACCATTTGTGAACCTTGAGGCTGTGTCTTAAAGCCTCGATGAGGACTAATCGTTCCTGGCCATGGGGCTCAGGTCAAGCATGGCCTCAGTACTGAGCTCCAAGATAAGCAACGCAGTGAGCGCTGTAGTGGAACCAACACAAATATTTGAGACTCCAACGATTCGAACATTCCGAAAACATCTCTCGCAGCTGAGCAGTATATCTGAAGAGATACTGCATCCGATTTTATCGGAGACCATATCGCGTCAAATTGACGCTGGAAGACGTGGCAGGGAAAAATGGAGCGGCCTCTCTCGCAAACTACGCGCTTCGCTCGGTGTCAACATCGAGGACACAAAATTGATGACCATGACCAACGCGAGAGAGCTCCTTGGATTCCTTGACTAACGTGCAGAATCTGCGGCTGAAATTACACCTGAGCCATCCTACAGCTTGTGGGACAAAATGTTGTCTTTCCACAGTAAAACGTCGGGAGATAGATATGTACTTAGTCAAAAAAATACATGAACAATTCTGTTGGTGTTTGCCATGCCTCATTCCGGGCTTCAGGCTTTGATGTCGGGGCTCGACACACACACGTACTTGGCGGTAGGCAGTGAGCTTTGCCTCTTACCATTCACATCAATGATGGAATGATCTAATTTTTTAACCCTGTAAAGACACGAAACTGATGGACTTTAAGTAAATGTACGCAGCCTGCGAAATCAGGCATAGAATCATATTTCTATTGAGCCAGAAACTCCAATTCCCAGAATCTTTGAGGCCATGCAAGATTGGTCTGCCCCATGAATATTGGTCGACGCCACAGCGGCATATTCCGCGTGTGAACTGCCAGTTTTCCGGCAAGTTAAGGACATGTTTAGAAACAGCATATGCATGGCACTCCTACGCAACCCCACTTCCTGTCTCGGTCAACGACACCAGTTGTACGGATGAGAAAGTCTGGTTACGTATGAGAAGTAGTGGATAAAATTCACGCGATTGTGCGCAGACTAAGCATACACATAGCTCCGATACGAAGAATTGCCAGGCGCATTCGAGATCATATACCAGAGTCTTGCAATTCCCTTCCAACCTGCAAATATGGATGCGGATATTGATATTGAAATGCCCAAGCGCACACAAATCGAGCTTCAGATTGACACACACGTCCTTGCATGGGAGCTGGGTTACCAGTAATCGTCGTAAGCAACTGTCGATTACCTATTCATCGACGTCGAGGCCGAGCAAGGCGTTGTAATTTACCTTCAGCATGGAGTTCCTTCGCAAGAGGCCGTGGTTTTACTCCATGGTGGTCTAGGAACACCTGTTGCTACCCAACTGCAGCCGCATTTGCCTTAGGACTGGCCAATGATGACTTTGCAGGCACCTGAATTGCTGAATCAGGAACAGATTGAAATCTCCAATTTTCGGGATCGTGCTCTGTTATACAATGATTGCATTAGCAGACAATGAGTTCAGAGAAGTGTTCACTTGGTTGGATACTCCCACACGGGTCCGTTAGCCTATGAAATGTCGATCAATTTCGTGGCAGCTGGGCTACGCTGTGGATCTTTAAGCCTGATCGATCCGTTACCATTTTCGATTTCAAACAGGTAAAGTGGAAATTTAATCCAAGAACGGGCAAAGATGTACGACTTCGTGTTTGGGACCCTGCTACTCACAGAGACAGGTCTCACCCAAGCAGTATCGCTCGGTGCGATCACATCCTTATATAAACTCGAGTAGGAAGCGGGTCAGATTAGCTCCGAATTCATCGAAGAACTGAGACTGATCGTCGACGCTGCTCAGACTTTAGCCTACGAATACCCGACTTTTGATAGATCATCAGCGCGACCAAAATTCCGAGCTTTAATCACGTTCTCGACAACGAATGATGCATTTGACTTTTTCGACAAGGCAGGCTATGCAGGACGTGATCACGCAGACAAGATCTATGGATGGAGCACGGTATTAGACACTTCGAACATGAGCATTGAACATCTGGATTGCGACCACGCCAAGGTTTTCACCACAAAGACATCAACGCTCTGAGTTGCATCCTCGCTCATTCGCATGCACGAAGAAAATAATTATACAGAGGACGCCAAATGAACAAGTTTCGGCGTGCCTACCATCGGCAAAGTTATTTGGAATGAAGATTTTGCGATTCCCAAGAATTTGCTCGCTCGCGCGGTGGTATTCAGCAAGGGCAGCGTCCGGGTGAATTGCGAGGAGCATCCCGAGCTGGACTCCAAGGCGATCGTGGAGCTGTACGACGTGGACAAGTCGGAGGCGAGCCTGCGAAAGAAGACGGAGAAGATGGGCGCTCGGTTCGTGAGCTACGAGAACGGGACGTGGGCGTTCGAGGTGCGCGGCTTCGGGGGCGGTGGGACCAAGGCGACGAAGCTGAGGGACCCCGCGTTCGGGTCGGTGACGTGGGAGCGCGATCTCGGGATCACTTCGGAGCAACTCGCTCGCGCGGTGGTATTCAGCAAGGGCAGCGTCCGGGTGAATTGCGAGGAGCATCCCGAGCTGGACTCCAAGGCGATCGTGGAGCTGTACGACGTGGACAAGTCGGAGGCGAGCCTGCGAAAGAAGACGGAGAAGATGGGCGCTCGGTTCGTGAGCTACGAGAACGGGACGGTGGGACCAAGGCGACGAAGCTGAGGGACCCCGCGTTCGGGTCGGTGACGTGGGAGCGCGATCTTGGGATCACTTCGGAGCAACTCGCTCGCGCGGTGGTATTCAGCAAGGGCAGCGTCCGGGTGAATTGCGAGGAGCATCCCGAGCTGGACTCCAAGGCGATCGTGGAGCTGTACGACGTGGACAAGTCGGAGGCGAGCCTGCGAAAGAAGACGGAGAAGATGGGCGCTCGGTTCGTGAGCTACGAGAACGGGACGTGGGCGTTCGAGGTGCGCGGCTTCGGGGGCGGTGGGACCAAGGCGACGAAGCTGAGGGACCCCGCGTTCGGGTCGGTGACGTGGGAGCGCGATCTCGGGATCACTTCGGAGCAACTCGCTCGCGCGGTGGTATTCAGCAAGGGCAGCGTCCGGGTGAATTGCGAGGAGCATCCCGAGCTGGACTCCAAGGCGATCGTGGAGTTGTACGACGTGGACAAGTCGGAGGCGAGCCTGCGGAAGAAGACGGAGAAGATGGGCGCTCGGTTCGTGAGCTACGAGAACGGGACGTGGGCGTTCGAGGTGCGCGGCTTCGGGGGCGGTGGGACCAAGGCGACGAAGGTTCGGGTCGGTGACGAGGGGTGCTAAAGATAGGTCTTCCAGGTGGTTTTGCAGAGCATGCCGATATCAAGTTAAGTGATGAAGTGATGCTCTTGTTTCAAAGTTCACTCCGCGGGGTAACTTTGAATCATAGTCAACACCACACTTTTGAGGTTAGGTTTTGAATCTGTGCTGATAGGGGCGTCCTACGCGCCTCGGGGGGGCGTTAACCACGGGCGGGGTCGCATCGCTTCCCGGCGCGAATTGCGCGAAAAAAGCATCACGCAACGCTGCGGCGTCTGGTGAGTAGCCGTCGCCAACTTGAATAGGTGGAAGACTATAATCTGTCGAAGCAGATGGGGCGTCGAAGCAGGCTGGGCGTCGAGGCGGGTGGGGTTCAGTTGGCGATCGCCTGCGTTCAGAGGTAAGGTCTGTCCAGGATCCGATGGCACTTGGAGATGCTGATAGCCTCCGGAGACTGATGATCCAGCCTGCAGTTTCCGCCCAGAGATAGAGAGTTTTATATCTCCCTAGTGGCTCGCTGGTACAGAGCCACCAAATATCCCTTCCCTTCCTAATACTTTCCAACCCTGTTATAGCTGCTTCTCGCACTGTGATAGACGGAGAGTCTTCCTGGACCTAGTGAGGCAGAGTCGGACGGCAGGGCAGCCCCACTAGGCTGCCTCCCCGTGCCGGAGTTTACTATATCGTTATGGGCGGAAACGAAAGCAAAGCTGAGCCTCTCTAATGTCGATCATGAAGTGTCGGAGGGCATTCGATCCGATTGTACCCCGGGCGGCGGTGTCATTCGGGTGGACACTCGTTAGAAGACGCCGGTCGACCGTGACGGACGAGTCGCCGACAGGGACGTCCGGAGCGACCGGGCGGAGGTGTCCCGCAGCTCGGACGCGCATCGGTCCTTGTCCCAGTGCCCGACGGCGCCGGTCGCCGCGCCGCTGCGTCGCGCATGGGCGGCCCGGTCGAGAACCTCCTGCGCGCCGCGGGCTGCCCGCTCTACGCCGTGCCGAAGGCCCTGGGCGTCGACGTCGAGGCGCAGCGGAGCGCGGAGCAGCGGGAGGCGGACGCGGAGCGCTTGTGCGTGGCGCCGTGCTCGACGAGACGGACAACGGCATCCCCGACGTCTGCCTCGAGCGCAAGTGGTGCCCCTTCAACCCGGACAACCCCGTCACGACAACTTCGTGTGCCTCGTCTTCGGCAACATCGGCTTCCCCTACTTCGACCAGCGGCGCAAAGTCTACATGGGTCGTCGCCATGTGGTCGACGCTGCTGGCGATGTTCGTCACGGCCTTCGGCGCGCTGTCGCTGTCGACGGACCCGGACGTCGTGCGCACGAGCTACTGGGCGAAGCTCGAGACCTGGAACTTGACGTCCCCGCGAGACAACGCACTACTACCTCGGCCTGCGATCCATCGTCACCGTCTACGACGGCGGCGACGAGACGACGGACCGGCTCGAGATCGACTACATGGTCGGGCGGATCCCCGGGAGCCGCGACGTCGACCCCATGCGCGAGGCGCTGCTCGAGAGCTGCGCCGACTCCGCCGCGGGGAACCAGATCGGCGCACTCCTGTCGTGCGTGACGCTCATCTTCGCGCTGCTCGGCACGATCAACCGCATGAAGTTCTCGAGTGACGCGAACGTGCAGAAGGCGCTGGGCCTCGTCACGGACACGTGGGGTGCGCTGACGCTGAGCTACACGCTCTTCAACTTCCACGCGAACTGCTTCGACGACCTGCCGAGCCGGTTCCAGCGCCTCGACCTCGACTACGAGTGGGGGCCGGGCTGGATCTGCTACCTCTTCTGCGCGCTGAGCGACATCATCCGCGCGGCCGCGCACTGGGTCACGCCGACGCCGGGCAACGGGTCGGTTGTGTGCACCCTGAGCCTGCCGGCGGAAATCGTGAAGCTCCTGGACGCCGACGGTGACGGCGAGATCACCTGGGAGGACCAGAAGCTCATGTTCAAGAACCTCAAGAAGCTCATCGCGCACGAGACCGTCGTCGTCCGGTCTCGCGCGATGCTCCTCCGGGCCGACATCTTCGAGGGCGGCGGCTGCGTCATGCGGGCCGCGTCCGACGCGGCCGAGGACCTGGCGGACCGCGTCCGTGCGTCGCTGGCGGCCCACGACGAGAGCCCGCACGCGCTCGGCGAGCTCGAGAAGCGCGACTTCGTCGCGGGCGCGCTCGCGGAGTTCTCCGGCGGCGAGGCGGCGCCAGCGCCGGCGATGGCGACGCCGCCCGCGACGCCGGCGACGGCGACGCCGCCCGCGACGCCGGCGATGTCGCCCGCGTCGCCCAAGGCGTCAAAGGCGCCCAGGGCGCCCGCGCCGCCCAAGGCGCCCGCGCCGCGGCCGGGTCCGCCGCCGCGCGACGCCGGGCCCGCGTAATGAGCTTCTGGATTCTTCACCAGACTATAAGAATCGTACTTGACCGTATGGTACTGATCATAACCAAATATACCGCAACGGATAGGCAATCTCAGTGGTGCTTCCCCCCTCATCGCCTGTCGCGCTTGGTTGGGACGGACCGTCCCGTGACAGCGAAATACCGCCTCTCAGTCATTGCTCTCAGTCAGCACACGCGAGGCCCAGCGCCCCGCGCGCGATGCGCACCAGCGGTCAATCAACGCCGGGAACTATCTTGGGTGCGTAGCTTCTACTGTGCCACAAGAGGCCGCGCTCGGCTCATGGCATTGAGCGCCGACGCGTTGGATCTGCATGGTATCGCCGAGAACATCAGCACGGCGGTCTCCGTGTGAACGAGTTCTGTGGCTCTGCTTCGTGACAGCTACCTCTGACGCGTGCATTCTAGAAGCCCGCTCTACTGCTATGGCTGTGTGGTCATCCAGTGGCATAGGAATAAAATATTTACGAGGCGACTGCATTTGAAAACACCAGCTGTGGCCGAAACGACGATGGTTCTTCAATGCTCATGGATTGAACATTTTGGGCGCTTTGGGCAGGACAGGGCACTGTGGCGTTGTACGCCATCGACATGCCACTCTTGCCAGCTTGGTAGAATTCAGATCCGACTGCACTTACAGAAAAGCTCGCGCGATCATTCTCTGTAGAGCTACCCACGATCGTGTCTTCGCTGAATCATCCCGCAGGTTGCCAAGCAGCTGTTACTTTGTACAGTCTGCATAAGCGCACTGAACATCGTCTTGTCAATAGACTTAAACTTTCGCTCGATTTGTAAGGATGTGAGTATAAGAGGCGCATAAATTTCAACGAGCAGATATTCCATCTTCCGTACACGCAGGGCTCGCGGAATTTTATCGCATGCTTTCGAAGTCTAATCTGGAACCGTAACGGCAATACAATTCCCGCGTTGTACGAAAGCTTCCTACAAAGTGGCATGTGCGTCCAAGAGGCAGGTTGGACCATTTATGGCTGGGAATCTCGCATCGTCAATCCCATCTAGGTGAAACCATAAATTTCGCTCGCATCTTTTGTGTCGCGTGGCAGCTAGCGCCCTATGCTCAGCTAAAAGCTCGCAGGGATTCATGTCAGCTTAATCACAATCTTTCAAGGTTCTCCTGCTCGCATATGCACCAATGCAAGGCGGCGCTAAAAAGTGAGTCTCGTCGATCGGGCGGCAAATTCCGCGTTGATCGCACTTGGTCGCATTTCTTACGTGCTCGGCCTCGCCTGCCCCTGTTTCCCCGTCAGTTCCGCGTGCTCGGCTTCTCCTGTTGGCGCACATCTCACAGCAGTAGGATTATAACGAGCTGAGTGCGAGCAAGCGTGCATGAGCGCGGCAAACACCCTCGAGCAGGGCATGTATGCTACCTTTAGCGTCCCTGGTATGCAGTTAAATCATGGTTGTTGCCACTGGTTTCATGACTGCGCCGATGGATATTGCCGCAGAGAAGGCGCCGGGTCTCTTGGTAGGTCCAGCGAGGATGCTCGTCAAAGGCCATTAGTCTTCGGCGTCCTTGTCCGTGACTGGTCGCTCGACACATACTTAAAATTAAAACTCGGCGAACGTTTTTCATTTGGCTTTGGTGGAAGCCACTAACCAGTTAATGACGCCAGCGTCAATTAATTACCAGAAACGCACACAAGAAGGTTCCTCTGATGAGCAATTGGAGATCTATTCGACGGGGACTTGACGAGAGAGGTGTCCAATGCGTGTCCACTGGGTGCCCACATGGCACCATACTTTAATTGAAACAATCAATATCGAATTTTGCCCACCACTGCTTGGGCATTGGTGGCAGTATTACTGGGAGGTTGTGATGATATGATGCGAAATGGACAACGGGTTGACGCTAGCGAGCTTGGTATTAGACTCGCTGCGGCTTTCGATGTCCGGCTGCCGAAAGCGGTTGCGCATCCCGATGTCGGGTTCATGGCATTGGGCGCCGATTCGTTGGATCTGCGGGGCCTTGCCGAGGATATCAGCACCGCATGTTCTGTGTGAGCGAGTTCTCTGACTCTACTCGAGTGTGGGACGTTCAGAGCGCTCGAAGATCACCTTCCCGTGGGATGAGGGCATGACGCTAGCGAGCTTGGTATTAGACTCGCTGCGGCTTTCGATGTCCGGCTGCCGAAAGCAGTTGCGCATCCCGATGTCGGGTTCATGGCATTGGGCGCCGATTCGTTGGATCTGCGGGGCCTTGCCGAGGATATCAGCACCGCATGTTCTGTGTGAGCGAGTTCTCTGACTCTACTCGAGTGTGGGACGTTCAGAGCGCTCGAAGATCGCCTTTCCGTGGGATCAGGGCCTGACATTATTGGACTCACTGCAGCTTTTAAGAGTCAAGTGATATCGGCTGGCAGGACTTCGACTGGATATTTGTAGTTTCGACTCCCTGGGACCGCTTCTAACCCTGGTGTTTGAGAGTTCTTACTCTTGAATGTGACATCAGGACAAAACATACCACCAGCTTGATGAGAATCTTCCCTAATTTCACATGCATCGGCCGCCTATGGAAACTTCACGCCAATGTTCATCTAACATGATAATTGGAATATGTCTAAATAAGAATTAAATTATGTGAATCCTGTTCAATTGCAACTTCTTGAGATCTGTCATACTGCGTTTGTCAGTCGCGGCAAGCGCCCCTCTACATTGACAAACACGCTCACAGGTGTTTATGTTGGTCTATTTACCTCTTTACTCGGTGGTTCCTTCTGATGATCCAATAGAGGTGCAAAACCAAACATCTACAATGGAACGGCGAATTCTGTCTCAGTAGCTTCTGGTCGCATTTCTTACCTGCTCGGCCTCATCGGTCCGTGTTTCCCCGTCGATTCTGCGTGCTCGGCTTCTCTTGTTGCGGCGCATCTCGCATCGGTAGGATTGCAGTGAGCGGAGTGCAAACAAGCGTGTGTTGCCGCGGGAGGCATCCTCGAAGCAGGCATGTATGTTGCATTCAGCGTTGCTGGTATGTTGTCGAATCACGGGCGCTGCCACTCATTTGATAGCCGCGCCGACGGATATTGTCGTGCCGAAGGCTGCGTTGGATTTCTATGTGAGTCTAGTAATGATGAAACGGCACAATAGATTCGCTCGACTGCCGTTTGATAAGATGGTCCAAGCGCAAGTCTCACCGCCCCAAACGGAGCCTCTCAGCGTTCATTGCTTTGAGCCGCGGATTTTGATGCAGCTATCAATGGTAGCATCGCACTCGAAGCCCATGGAACTGGCACTGTGCTTGGCGACCCCATTGAAGTCGGGGCCGCTGTCAATGTGCTCTGCAGTGTGCAGGTCCACATTTGAACCATTAAAAGCAATGTCGGGCATCTGGAGGCGACCTCTGCGGTTGCGGGATTGGTGTCGTTGATCGCGCTTGCCTTCGCACAACTTCCGCTGTGTTCCTTGCATTTTCTCAATTTGCATGTGAGATCTCTAGAGCTCTGCCTGTTTTATTTTGCGACGGAAGTGGCTTCTAGCGCTCTTAACTAACCTACCGCAAGCTGATTGAGTTCGTTCGGGTACAGTGGAACAATAGCCCACGGAGCATTTTCCATTGGTGATGCGAGTTGCCTGTCGGTCTTCTAAGCCAGATCACAAATTTCATCATTTCGTGTTCAAAAGTGAGTTGCTGATGTTTCTGTCGGACTAGTGTGATTGGCTTTCGCAGAATTGGAAAGCATCGGCGCTGTATCCTGTGAGTTACGATGTCGTGGAAGTCAGTCCCTGGGAACTTTCGCATCATTGATGTAAAGGCCTTCTTCCAGAGAGCATACACTTTCTGAAGTGATGTAAAGGCCTTCTTCCAGAGAGCATACACTTTCCAAAACTATGGAAACAGTCCATGCCGCGCACCCTGATACACAGTGCCACACAAGAATAACCAGCATTCCATAAACCACGCTGTGTTCCAAAAGGTTAACATGTTTACTTCTTGCTGCTGGGTGCATGTACGACTCCTGTCTGTATCAAGTCTCACGTGAGGGCTTGTTATCAGGTAGCCTATGGTTCCGATGTGCCATTCAGCCCCGAGCATCCCAACGCCGGTGAGCTACCGCGACCTTGCAGTCCCCGCTTCGGCTTCTGTTTCTCCACGGAATGGATACGTACGCAGAATTTCAAGTCGCCTCCCTGAATCACCAGGGCTGGAATTGAAGTCCAATAATCGAATGGGTGACACTAAGCGCTCCAAATCGAGGCGCCGATTTTTCGTTGGGAGCCGGTGGCATGTTCTTGCGCGAGCAATTCGGGTACGAGCCGCAGAACTCGCGTTCTTGGCGCCTGATTACGCAGTATTCCTTGACCAGCGCCAGCCAAGCTGACATGTTTTCTCGCATTCGCAAGGCATCGGACTCTGATGCTGACATCTATGGGCTTGGAGAAGACTGGACAGCATCGGTCGAGCAGATAATGCGAGCTGTAAAGGAACAGGCCCTCGTCTGCGGTCTTGCGGGTATCAGTGAAGGCGCCACAGTTGCATCTGCTCTCCTCGTGTAGCTTGCCTCTGAATGTTGGCCCTGGTTTCGTGCTTGAATGCTGATCAGCGTGTGCGCGCTGACCTCGCCTGCTCACAGTCACCTGTACCAGGCTGAAACGAGCTCTGTGTCGTCCCTCCACTTGGTCGGCTACGGTGATACTAGGGACATTCAGCACATGGTTGGGCGGACAGCGGGAGTCTACAAATCAAGCTCTGGTATTTGTTTTTTCAGTGGCGGACACAAGCTGCCCGACCTGAGCGCTCGGCTAGTCAATGCGCTCTAATCTCTCCACTGTATCACTTTCGGCAAGTCCGCCACGTATGTATGGAATCCCGCTTGTTTTTAAGGGCGAAATTTTGACCAGAAATTATACCGCGGGTTTGCGTCCTGTTCGGTACTGCTCTAGAATGCCTTTTGGCAGATTGGCAGCGCTGGCTCAGCTGAGACCTTGTCGTCACATAGTGCAACAGTGTGTTGGCAGAAAGAGCATGTTTTGCTTTTAGAAAGTGGACATGTGATGGTTGCCACCTTTCTCACCAGGTTGCTTTGCTTAATTGCGTGCTACGCTCTCATTCTCCAAGGCGACGACCATCTCACCACTCAAGTTACAAATCGAAGTCTCAGTTCCTGTCAGGAGCAAAGTATCATGACGCCTATTCTTGCGGTGCTTAGCCAAGATAAGTGCTGATCTCATTTGGCTCAAGTCGCAGATTGGTGCGCCAGCACTAGAGAACCTGGCCGCAATAGATGTCCACAATGGAACGTGAGTGCCGCCGCATATGGCATAAAGGATGCGTGGGATCAAATAAATCATTATGTGTTGATCCTCAAGTGAATCAAAGTCTTTGGTATTTGAAACTCGCTGGTCTTGATGCATCGTAAGAATTCATTGCCCATGCTGCTGAATTAGAACATCAATTTTTTGCATGCAAGTTTCGTTACTTCTAGTCTTAGCGTCGTCCATGAGAGATGCGTGAAACACATCATGCAGTCTAGCCTACGTGCTAGGAAAGTGAATTCGATGATGTGACTCATGTATCATTCACTAATCCAAAGCAAAGATCCTTCATGCTATTGGAGCTCAGATTGAATCATTCTAATCAAGGCTTTGCTTGAATGCAGTCAAGTGTAAGAGAAGATGATATAATGTTCTACGGGCTTGGTCTTGTACCTTGGTCGCAATCTGACGTGACTCGCCCCTTCTGTTTTAGCGCCGACAGTCGTTGTGGGCTTCGGGGTGTCTTGTCTGCAAATTTGCGTATAAATGAAGCCAGATGACATATTTTTGTTGAAACCTCGCTAGGACGTGACGAAAACTCCTGCCAGTGTGCATCGTACTGTTAAACAGTGGGACACTGTCCTGGCAGTCGTAGTCTTGTGTTCCCAGTCGCTAGAATGAACTCAGACCTTTAGTGCGCGTTTTAGGCAAGCTCGAGCTGTTGGCAATGGTGTCCAAGCAATCGGGCGGCGACCAGACTCGCCGTGTCATGTTGCTGTTATTTCCTGCTGAAGAACACTCCACGTGTGCTTGACTTACACGGCCGTGATTCCCCTGATAGTACTTTTGGGCCTTTTGTGTCAAAGTTGAGCCACTGTCGAGGTGCACGTGGTCTTTGAGGAGGTGAATGGCTTTGCTTCCGATGGCCCGGATACCAGGCTTCTTGGCAAGAACTAGCTCATCAGTATGATGACCATCGCTTCCTGACTTGCCAGCTTCCACACAGTGCAGGCTCTTGGAGATGTTTCGAACTTGGTGATCTCTGGTGTTGATGTTTAGTACACATGCGATCTACAACCAAGTGATAGCTTGGAAGCGCATCACATGAATCTCGTTGATGAGATTAGACTTGAGGATCACCAGAGACTTGACGCAGTGGGACTCACAGATTCGATCTCACTTCTGCAACCTAGCTAGGTGCGCCGAACTGTACATAATACAGTGAGTTTGATGTTGAGGATAACCAACTGAACTCCACGCAACATCAAGACTGTAAACCTGGCGTGGAGAGGTTCCGACACTGCACTGCTCGAGCTTGATGATTCTCCTACATTCAACACCATGACTTTCACTCTTCTTCAGGACTTGCAAGCTTGCTTGCGAGCTGCCTTTACATCTGTCAACACGCGGATTCTGGTGCTTCAAGCTGCCGGCCCCCATTTCTGTACTGGTGCGCGCTACCACAGCAGAGCGTCGACGGTTCCACTTTGGTGGGTCAGAGCACAGGACACATACAGTAAGGGTCTTCTTCTAGATCAACTACGGAGTGTTTCGATCTCAACTGTGTCCTTGCTCCAAGGAGCGTCCGTTGGCGGTGGGCTAATTTTGGGCCTGGCCGCAGACTTGCGGATGGCCACTCGCTCAGCCAGTTTCCGGTTGGGCGTGGCACCACACAGCCTTAGTCCGGTAATGATGGCAACGGGAGTACTTCCTAATCTCGTTGGATATCATTTTTCAATATGAATGTACACGGAAGATTTGTTCATAAATGGGTAGGATGCAATGTCATGCGGCCTCGTTGGTGTTGTTGTATGTTCCGATAGATCACATGCCTTGTCATTTGCCAGAGCTTAACGCCCTCTGGATAAATGTGCACGCATTCTTTAAAGTGACCAGCATTTCACTGCAGAGACTATGTTGAACATTGAGGCAAGAAAAAATCATGATGAAATGCGGATCGACTCTCTCACTAGACTGAAGACGCGAAGAAAATCGCACTGATTCGCTTCAAGCTGTGCTCCCAGCAATTTCCTCCTGTTTTCATCCTTTCAATCTGAAACTAGAGTATTGCCAGAGACAGTGGCAAATCTTGTAGGCTCTGTAGCCTCGTCATTAGTAGGAGACACAAATATCACTATTGAGGCCCCACTCATGGATGCCGGGATTGACTCGCTTTCAGCAGCCGAACTAACTCGATAGCTCAATGTTTGCTTCGGGACTCAGCTAGCAGTAACGACACTATTTGACTACCCATCTATCGCATTATTAGCGAAATATCTTAGATCGACCCTTGAATTTTGCTGTGGCGAGGTCACCACTTCGCACGGAATTGAATGCGTAGAATTAAATAACAAAAACCAAACGATTTTTTCCGCAACCAAGTGTGTTCATCTTCCACCCTGTCTCCATCATAACATCGACCTCAAAGGATGCTGTTGAGGCGCATTGAATGTGGCAGGCTCTGTGCCGTGCTCTTGCTGGGATGCTGATGCTGTTGATGTCAGAGGATTAAGTTCTGATCAAAGATGGCGACTCTGATACGGCGCGTTTTTAGTAGACTCGCATTCTTTTGACGCTAGTTGTTTTCGAATCAGGCCAGCTGAAGCATCGGCGCTAGATCCGCAATAGATGATTCTGTTGTAAGTTGGATACCGTGCTTTATTCAAAAGATGCCTCGGGCGAAGTTCGCTCGCGAGTGCTAACATTGGAATCATGCTTGGTATGATGAATTCAGATCAGCGGAGGGAAATATCGCGAATCCCTGGACCATACGACATGACCGGCAACGGTAATTTCGCAGCGGGGGCACGCCTCTCTTTTGTGCTCGGCATGCGAGGCCCTTGCATTACCACTGATACCGCCTGCTCTTCCAGCCTTGTTGTGACTCACATTTCTATACGACTGATTCAACACTAAGAATGCATGGACGCCCTTTCAATGGGCTGTAATATGATCCTGAGCCCACGTGGCGCCTTTTCAATGTTCTCTATCGCAGGGATGCTGTCCACACACGGTTGATCTCATACATTCGATTCTCGTGCAAATGGGTATCAGCGTGGTGAGGGTTGCGTGTGTATTTTTAACACATCCGCCATCACTGATGAAGAGATTTTTGTAATGCACCTTGGATCGAGCTGTCTGCACAACGGGCAGAGCGCAACGTTCACCGCATTAAATGGTTCGTCACAGAAGAATTTGTTGCTTCGCGCTGGGCCGGCCAACGCTCGTTTTATTGAAGCCCACGCCACTGGCACTTCTCTGGGCGACCCTGTGGAAACGAGCTCTCTGGCTGATTTGTTCAAGTCACAGAGTGTCTCGATTACTTCTCTCAAAGGAAACTTGGGACATATGGAAGGCACGGCTGGTGTCAGTGGCTTGCTGAATCTCAGCAACATGCTTGAGCTTCGGGCAGTTGCTGCTAATGCCCAATGCCGCATGTTGAATCTAAACCTGCAGAAGCTGGCAGCGGGGTGGTGTCTGCAGCTGGGGCTAGACTCAAATGCGGTAGCCCCTGCATTGACTGGCGGTACAAGCTCGTTCGGAGCGACTGGCATCATCGCACATGGACGGCTTGGAATATCACCCGATAAAATTACGACCGAGAGACAACACTAGTGGTGTGTCGATCTCGAACTGAAACTCGCCTCATAATATCGAGCACATGTTTGACTATACAGAGTGCAACGGTGCGGATCGGTCGACCGCATGCCTCAGTAGCCACCAGCGTCTCATAGCGGCCCTGGCAAACAGGCGTTGACACCTGACTATGTGCATGCTTCCTGGAAATTGAAAAAGCAGCTAAAAGATTCATGTCCAGCACCCGGCCCCGGTAGGTGCGCTGTGTATCCCGCAAGGCCGCAAAGTCGAGTGTCCGCAATCAACAGCCAGAATGGGCTTGTCGCTGGAATGCGCCCGTCACAGAGGTCCTTGTGACACCGTGCATCTAGCCCATGATTTCGTCTTGGTGTTCATAAGAACCCAGGTGTATGTCAACCACTGAATACATGATTGTACCTCACAGGCCAAAATGCACCGAAGATTGTATTATATTGGGGTAGAATACCATGGCTCGCATGATCATCCGTGCTCATCAATGCAACGCTAAAGTTTCAGAAGCAACCTGGATACTTTCATAGCCAAGGAACTGTTCACGAGTCAGAACCAGCGTGCAGGTGTGGACAACTTGAGCAAATAATTGTTCTGGTGGAATCTTTAGCAGGTTGGACCCTGGGTACCTCTTTGGGCGTTGATACACCATTGATGTCTGCGGGCTTGGACTCAATTGTCGTGACTGAGCTTGCATAGGCTCTTTCTTACTGGTTTCGGCAAGAAATTTCACCGACACTACTTTATGACTATCCCTCTCTCAATCAAGTCGCCAGCCGGTTACATGTAGCTTGCTTGAACACTGCACTGTCTTCGTAATGCGACAAGTAGATCGCTTTGCTTGGTGTGGTGCGAAGTAGGTGAAATTCAGTTGTCTGTGCCGTGGCCTAAAGCTTTCTGCTCGCTTAGTCTTTAAGCTGAAATTCGGAGCTCCATTCACTGGTCGCATCCGCTTACCAAGTGAATTCGCACGTGCCCGTAACACGTTGGTCTATATAGATCTCAACATATGCTTCTGCAACATATGGATCTTTTTTAAATCCTTCCTAGTTGGGCCTTGACTGAGCAGCATTCAGCATCTCATTCCCAGAGGCACATTCTATGGATCCACAGCAGAAACTTGTGCTTCACGTTGGCTACCTAACGTTTGAGCAAAGACATACGCAGGTCAGCTCATTATGTGCTCATCATGGCGGGGACTTCGCCATGGGAATTTTCGTGGGTGTTGAACCGAGCGGGCTGCAAGCTCTCGAAAGAGTTTCACCTTTCTTCGCTGTGACCAGTAGGGCGTCTTCAATCGCATCAGGAAGGCTTTCTTATTAATTGGGGCTCGTCGGCCCCTGCTATTCAGTTGACACTGCATGCGCATCTGCCCTGGTTGCGTTGCACATCTGCGCCATGACGTTTGATGTTGATTGCGAGTGTTGAGAGGGTATTAGCATGGGAACCAAGTTCCTCACTGAAGCGCTTCACGTGGCAACTTCCAGTGCCAGAATGCTCTCAGTCTTTGGCTGATGTCATTCTTTTGATCAGCGCGCAGATGGATACTGCCGTTCGGAGGGTTGTGGCGCGTTCCTGCTTTCCACGAGGACTTGTAGTGCCTTTGATCTCCTGGACTCTGCGGTATGACAAGACGGTTCGAGTGTTAGCCTCACAGCACCTAACGGGGCGTCCCAAAGGCGACTGATGAGGGCGGTGTGGGATCATGGTCATGATCTAGGGCTAGAAGCCCATGGCACGGGGACTGCCCTTGGAGATCCAATTGAGGTTATTATCTCATAATGAGGCCTCATCCGTCATTCCAGTCCATCCAGGTTGGCGCTGCTGTTGGAGCCTTGTGCGAGCACAATGATGGCATTAAGCGGTCTGTTGAATGCACCTCTTCAAAAGCAAACATCGGTCACTTGGAGGCATCTGCGGCCGCGGCGAGTCTAACTTCACTCACCCTTGTGCACCTTGGAACGTCCGCAGTCTTCGGAAATACGCAGCTGAATTCGTGAAGTGCGGGGTCATCATAAATCAATGGTGGACGAATTGAGTCTTAGGCTGAATGTACACCTCTTGTCCATCACGAGCGTAACATTTAGTATGCCAGCTGATGTTACACTGGTCGAAAGTGGCGATGCTAAAGATAGCAGCCTGTCATCACTTGCTCGTTTGAGTTCATTCGGCTTCAGCGGGACTATTGCACATGGGGCCTTGAGTTCCACATTAGTCTGTTTGTGGTGATGTATCACAAAAGTAATAAGTGGCTCCCTGTACCGAACTTGTTTTGGTGTGACGAAATTGTTAACGGGAAACAATCTAGGCAGCGATACCAACAATTGAGGCATTGACGATGCCCGTTTCCTTGCTATGGGCCTGTCATCTGCTGCAATGCTTTCTCTCGCATAGGATATTTCCAGCCACACGGAATTCAACGTGGAAATTATGAGCATCTTCGAGGATCCTACACCGCGCGCATTGGCCATGCGTTTATCTGAAGCAGGCGCAAGAAAACCGGTAGAGGAGCTCTTAGCTTGTATTCGAAGTATCGTTATGAAATACTAGCAATTACAAGAGATTCCACAAGAAATCACATCAACCTCTTCAAGTTCTTCTGGAAGTAGTCTAAAGGTGTCCTGGAACTAGCAGCAGCTGTTAACGGTCATGTTGTTGGATGGTTCAAACAAGGCTTACAACATATCTATATCACATTGGTTTGTCGGTCGGCTCTCTATTGAAGCCCTGTGTTTCGCGATGAGACAACTGATAGCGTGACATTCAATCTTGAGGACAACATATTCTGTGAACGAGGATGGCAGTTTTGGTGTGATTGTTGATGATGATCCCCAGTTCGATCTAAGTTGAGCTGTGGCTGATACTGAAGAGGAAGCTATTCACATTGGAGCTGTGCATTCAAGTGAGCATCTTTTGATCTTTGGTGGCAGTATCATCCGTGCCTTGCTTGTTGCCATGGGGTCCCGCCATCTACTGGTGATCACGATTCATCACATAGCATGTGATGGTGTTTCAGTTGCACTCATAATGGCGGAGCTGAGAGATCTCTATTTAAATGCACTTCAGCCTGGCGCAATCCAGTCACGTTGATGCGATGAATAGTATGTTCATTTTGCAAAGTGGCAGTGAGAATTTGTTCAGTCTAGTCTTGACGTGTAACGCTCATTCTGGATAAATTAGCTGCGTCATGGTTAGCTTCCCATTCTACGGTTGCCATTTGACCACCCACGGTGACCAGTGCAGCGTTCTTCGAATGGTGGAATCTGCCGCTTTTAGATTCCAGCTAATGACGTATCTGCCCTGCAACAATGATACAAAAATCTGTTCGCAGTAGTACTCGCATTGTGGGCTGTATTACTTTGTAGACTGAGTGGTCAGGACGAAGTGGTTATAGGTGTACCCTATCACGGTCGCGATAGTGTGCAAGGTCACTATTCAGACACCATAGGATATTTTGTGAACATGCTTCCCATCTATCTTGGAATTCCTCGTGGCCAAATGTGTCTCGGCCTTTTTTAAACTGTTTTATGAATATCGAACATGGCGATTTAAAATGCATAACTGCCTGTTCAGGAAATTGCAAACAGCCTTCCAAACCTGCCCCGTGATCCGTCATACCAGACAATGTACCAAAGTCTGTTTTTCTGGCAGCTTACGGATCGAGTCATGGACGGAGCATGGGGTGATGCTCTTCACGTCCGTCCGGCAGATCTTGGCTAGCCATGAAGTGGAGGTGCTCCGGGGACAGCAAAGTGCGATATAAGCCTCAGTGCAGTTCCCGATCCCTTTGGCTAGATTTAAGCTGAGATTGAGTATAACCGGGATCTATTCCAAGCAAGCACTGCAGAAAGATTTGTTCTATATTTTAAAACACTGGTCACCTCCTTCGTGAAAGCAGGGGATAGTGACCTCGTGTGGAAGCTAAATTACCTTGGGGAGGAAGAGAGAAACACATTATTATACAGCTTCAATGAGATGAAGCCAGCCAACTCTCCAGTGAGTCTAAGAGTACATGACTTAGTTGCAGAATAGACACTGCACGCACCTGCGAGATCGGCAGTGGAATGGTGCGCGAAGCAACTCACGTATTGAGAGCTTTAAGACTGTGCAAACTGCATAGCCGTATGGCTTCATGACCACATGATCGGTCACGCAATCCCAGACATGGTCGTGGCACTCCAAGTCAGCAAATCTATCGAAATGGCGGTTGCAATCTTGGGTGTGTTGAATGCTGGCTGCGCTTACCTGCCTTTAGACAGCACATGGCCCCTTGCAAGGTGAAGCTTCATGGTTCGTGATGCAAGGTGCACTCACTTTCTCACGCAAGGGGAATATGACCATAATTTCCTCAGTTTATTTGAGGCAATTCTCTGTCTGGATTAGGGCTACTAATTGCGTGTACAAAATGCTAGGATTCAACAACCATAGACAACTGCGCGTCATCTTGTATATGTAATTTACACCTCTGGTAGCACTGGGAAACCCAAAGGTGTCCTTGTGGAGCATGCTGGTGTTGTGAATTTGCTTCAAGGAACTCGCAAGCTTTTTTAAAAAATTCTCGCAGTTTAAAATCCAATTTGAGCCGCGATTTCTTTTAATTACGTTTTTGATGCATTCTAGCAATCTTTTTTTTAGTGTCTCGGTGTCCATGGTGGTACGTGTGTGTTTCTAGAGAGCGGGCTTTCGCTCATTGATCTCGATGATAGTTTAAAATTCACCATACTCTACGATGTACCCTCAGTAATGGCACTTGTGACGGTACCGCAGAACGTGGCATTGGTTCAAGTGATCGGTGAAGAGCTTTCACACTCGCTCGTCGCTAATTTACCGGTTGGTGTTGCCCTATGGAACTGGTACGGACCCACGGAAGTCTCAATAGCGGCCACATTGAAGGATGGCGTTACACTGTCGCGGCTGAATTCCATAGGATTTCCTCTCGAAAACGTTGCTTGCTACGTTGTCGATCGATAGACCGTCGAGCTTTTGCCAATCGGAAGCTATGGGGAGCTCCTGCTTGGGGGTGTACAGATAGCACGTGGTTACCTCAATCGGCACGAGCTAACAGCTGAGCGCTTTGTTCCAATGCCTTGGCCTACAGCCCACTCAAGCCGTGGCATAGCGTACCGAACCGGAGATCTGGCACGTTGGTGGCCAAATGGCGAACTTGAATTTGCTGGACGCATCGATTTTCAAGTAAAAATCCGCGGCTATCGCATCGAGTTGGGGGAGATTGAGCATGCTTTACGCTCGCAGACTGGCGTCGTCGAAGCGGTTGTTGTGATATGCGCGACTGGTGAGTCTGAAGGGGGTCTAGTTGCATATTTGCGCCCCAAGAATGTTGCATCAGGTGAGCCCTGGAGAAGAATACTGAAGGGAGTTGGCTGAATCCTACCTTCTTACATGGTGCCTGGAATGGCGATTGGAGTCGACCATTGGCCTCGAACAAGCAGTGGAAAAATTGACCGGACACAGTTACCAGGGGCCATGTCGGTTTTAAGGGAGCCAACTCAAGTTGTTGATTAAGTCAGAAGCACGGCGGAACACATCAGAGATCTCTCTCAAAAGATCATGGGCAAGACCGTTGGATTATGAACTCCCCTGATGTCTGCAGGGTGTAGCTCTTTAGGAGCTGTCCATCTGGCCCGAAGGTTGAGTATCGAACTCTCAATGCACCTGGAACCCACCCTTGTTTTCAACTATCCAACAATTGAAGCAATAGCTCTTCTTGTTCAGGGCGGATGCCCCAAAGTGAGGCAGAAAGTGCCCCGTTCGACGCTTTGTGAGTGTCGGTCAATCTGTTTTGTAGCTAAGCTGCAAGTCCACAAGCCGTCAGATCTTGACATGCTTTTGATCTGCAAACTCGATGCATCTCGCGTGGCACCATTTTTGCGTTGGGGATGTTCTCCTGTATTTCCCTCCGGATACGGCCAATTTTAGCTGCACCATGTCTCCTACACTGTCCCTTCTAGCATGTCTTATTTGGAAGCCCTGTCCGCAGATCCTCGCTTCCTTGCGGTACTAGATATGGCGGCTTAAGCTCTCAAACGGTCTGCGAGTTTGTGTACATAAGCTACCGGCGTGTACGTAGGCATGTCTGGAGTTCTCTCTTGATCTTCATTGTAAACGTAAGGGGGTTCGTATTCTTTGACGTCCGAGGCTTTATCGACAGCAGCAGGACGTATTTCGTACTAACATGGTCTCACTGGGCCCTGCATGTGCATAGACACCGCGTGTTCATCGATGCTGGTTGCTGTTGATTTAGCAGCTGCTTGGGTTCATACCTCTAGCTTTTGGGCGGTTGCCTCAGGGTCAACTTTTTTGTCGGTCAAAGACTCCACAGTGTTGACTACTGCTGGGATGTTGTCAAATTTTGGTTGATGTCACACCTTTGATGCCCGGGCAGATGGATATGCACGAGGTGAGGGCGGTAGTTTTTTCCTACTCGGCAGTAATTTTGAGGAGACTCGAGCCCAAGTGCTGGGATGTGCGGTCCGTTCAGATGGGGCAAGTGCGAGCTTCACTGTTCGCAAGTCTGTGTCAAGTAAATGGAATGATATAATTAGCCCTTGTAATTGTAGGCACCAAATGGTTTGTCTCAACGCAATCTTCTCGAGTCTGTGAAAAGTGTCTAGATGTGGGGATACGCCCTCGAGGCACACGGCACCGGGACAGCGCTCGGAGACCCGATCGAAGTCCATGACTTCCAGCGTGTGCCCATTTTGCATCGTTGATTACAGGTCGGTGCTGCTATAGCAGCTCTGTGTGTGAACTCAAAATCGGCACAATGCTCCTCATCAAAGTCAAACTTGGGTCACCTTGAAGCATCGGCAGCAGCTGGGGGTCTGGTGTCTCTCATGCTAGTGGCACTGAAGATGTTTATGATCACAGGAAATGCACAGCTGAATCAGTCTACTCCAATGCACCCTCTAGCAACAAACACATTGCGGACATAGGCTGAATTTGCACCTGTCAGGAATTGTATCTTCATCATTCGAGGTACCCACCGAGGCGGTTGCCAAAACCAAGTGCGGGTTAGGTAAAGGGTCGTCCCCTTTTTGTCGGCTGAGCTCGTTTGGATTCTGCGGGACTATAGCTCACGGCGCATTCAGGGCCAACAACTAGTCGAACGAATCTTGTTCGGCTGCCATGGTGCCAATAGGCTGCGAAATTTCAGTGTATAGATTTTAGTTGATGCCAAAGAACACATCGTTCCTACCACCTTTAATCCACTGATAGGGAAGTATCAAACTCAAGCAAAATGATGCGTTTCACTAGGTTTGAGCGCATTTACTATTTATCCTTGGAACAGTCATGACCGGTGACATTCCCTTAATGCACGCCGGTCTTGATTCGCTCTCTCTGACAGAACTAGTTGTCCAGCTGTGAAGTCACTATTGACTGAATTTGCCAAGCACTTGTGCATTTGACCACCCTACACTGAGATCTTTGGCATGTGCTCTTGATTTCTAATCGGATTTTCATGCAACTGCCATCACAATTTGACAGACTAATTGAGAGTTTTCGTCTATCTGAACTCTCGCTTTTTTCCTTCCTAACCGGATAAGTTCTGAGGATGGAATAAAGCTCATGTGCTTTAGAGGCCACGTGACTGCCTCAGATATACCTCCAACACGCTGGGTAGGCGAACAAGCTCAGGTAGCAAACTATGGTGCCTTTGTGTGTAATAGCTTATATAGTGGGCCTGCTTTTGGGCTTGGTTGTCAAGAAATTCAGGTGATCGATCCTCAGTAACTGATCGTGCTCGAATAAGCGAGCAAAATTCTGCTCGGTCTTTAAAACATGCCTGGTGGTGTCTTTGTTGGAGTTTAATATCAGTTAGGCCCCCACCTCTAGGTGCCCAATGCCTTTTCACCAATAGGTGCCTCCTGCTCTGTCGCAGCTGGCTGAGTATCATTCGTGCATGGATTGATCGGCCCGTGTGTTTCCTTAGATACAGCGTGTTCGTCATCTCTCGTGGCATCTCATATCGCAATTTATTCGCTTTGGAATCAGTGTCTCTTCGCAGCCATAGTCGGTACGAATATATTGTCAGAGCAAGCTAATGGAATAATCGCAAACGCTGGGATGCTATCTGCCTTGGGACGCTGTCACGCATTCGATAATCGTGGAGATGGGTACTGTCGTGGCGAGGGGTGTGGCGCTTTTTTAGCGGGCTCGGAGATACTGGAAAACTCCATTATCAGTATCGCAGTACAACAGGATGGGCAAAGCGCGAGCCTGACGGCACCAAGTGGATCATCACAGCGACGACTGATTAGGGCTATACCTGATTAAGGCACAGCTTTGGAGCGGCTTGAGGCACATGGCACCGGGACAGCGCTCGGAGACCCGATCGAAGTCCATGACTTCCAGCGTGTGCCCATTTTGCATCGTTGATTACAGGTCGGTGCTGCTATAGCAGCTCTGTGTGTGAACTCAAAATCGGCACAATGCTCCTCATCAAAGTCAAACTTGGGTCACCTTGAAGCATCGGCAGCAGCTGGGGGTCTGGTGTCTCTCATGCTAGTGGCACTGAAGATGTTTATGATCACAGGAAATGCACAGCTGAATCAGTCTACTCCAATGCACCCTCTAGCAACAAACACATTGCGGACATAGGCTGAATTTGCACCTGACAGGAATTGTATCTTCATCATTCGAGGTACCCACCGAGGCGGTTGCCAAAACCAAGTGCGGGTTAGGTAAAGGGTCGTCCCCCTTTGGTCGGCTGAGCTCGTTTGGATTCTGCGGGACTATAGCTCACGGAGCGTTTGCTTGTTCATCAAGCAGAAGACCACACGCCCTGATGGCACAAGTAGTCTCCCTAAACTGAATTTCTGAAGACTGGGATAGGTAGAGCTGATGCCAGCAGCTTGCAATAAGGAAGCCACAAGGAATGGTTGCAACTTGTCGATTAGTTGTAAGACATTGTTTCTAATCACAAATCATCGAATCCCAATCCAGCAACGGAGCACGTGCTTTCTGGTCTAAGTGACGACACGAGCCCGCATACGGATCTCACACGCCAAGAGACACCTTGAGCTTCAATCTTGGAAGGGATCAATCAGTCGTCACTGAACCTTTGGTCATCTCACGATTCTGGCTTCTACAAATCGCCCTGCAATCTGATTTTGCCAGGTTCCGGCTTGAATTATCTGGCAAGCAAGTACAATATTTTGCCAGAGCCTTTAACACCCTTCCTCTCTGATTCTGTGGAATTCGGACGCAGATTGCTTCTGGCATCTTTCTCGAGCCCTGAAAGATGGCTTGAGTACTCGAAAGCACGATTCAGGCATTACATTTCTGGAACTGCGAAGCGCTACTTGCAAAGGCCGCACAGGTCGATCAAACCGCGTGTGTTGGCGAGCCCATACAGAAACTGACCAATTTTATTGACCCTCATGATTGGAATGCAAAGGTTGAGTCCATAGCATTCCTTGCCTTGGGGACATCCATTGACACAACTTTGCCGTTCATGTCTGCTGGGATGGACTCGGTTGCTGCAAACGAATTGACGCGAGTGCTATCGGCTGAACTAGAACAGAAATTACCACGGACCTTCCCGTTCGACTATCCCACAATTGACTCGATTGTGCATCTCTTTTCGTCTGAGGTCAACAGTGGAGAGACTGCGTAGTTGACCTTGCATATTGAGGGAGACAGATCCAATCAGCTAGTTCCCTACAACTGAAAACACACAATCACCTTCATCATTGCATCTTGTTTCTAGCTAGCAGGATCCCTGAGCTCTAACTCTAGCTTGCGGCAGATGGCCACTCTGATGCGGACTACGAACTCGCACATCCCGATGGTGTGATGGGCGACTGAATTAAATCATCGATCTGCAAGGTATGGGTCGTTGATGGGCGTCGAACAACAAACCCTCGATGCAGCATTCTTCTGAATTTCCCTTGCCGAGGTGTAGACGCTGGATCCGCAATAGGGAATGGTGCTGAATGTTGGGTATTCATCGTTTAAGAAGTCACCGTATCTTCCCTTTTGTTCTGTAACAGATAGAGTGACACAAGGAGTTTTTGTTGGCGTCGAGGTAGGTGGGCTACAGGACCGTCAAAGAAACATCTTCTCGCTGAGCGGTAGCTCGCAATCAATCATCTCGGGGTGACTATCGTACTAGATTGGATTGGTTGGACCTTGCTACTCGATTGATACTGCATGTGCGTCCGCCCTGTCGGCGTTGCATGTTTGTAACGAAACATTTTTGAACAAAGAGTGCACCGCTGGTTCCTGTATCGGGATTAAGATCCTAAACGAGGCAGCACATGCTGCCATTTCGATTGCAGCGATGACCTCATCCCACGGACGATGCCACACGTTTGATCACTGAGCAGATGGTTACTGTCGTGGTGAGGGCTGTGGCGCGTTCGTATTGGCTCCCTGTGCATCAGATGCCAATATAGTTGCGGTGTATGGCATTGCAGTCCAACATAATGGTGCCAGTGTAAGTCTGACAGCTCCGAACGGGTGATCGCAAAAATGACTACTACAATCGATACCAGATCATTAGGCTGGCACCCATGTGATCCAAGCACATGGGACAGGCACAGCGCTCGGAGATGCAATTGAAGTGCTCGTCCCACTTTCTTAGAGCTCATGCAATATCCGATTCTATCTAGGTGAGTGCTGTACTTTAAGCTCTGGGACGACAGCTAGGCAAGACCATGCGGTCGATACAGTGCTCGTCTTTGAAATCAAACATGGGCCATTTGGAGGCAGCGTCTGCCGCCGCGGGTCTAGCCTTCCTTGTGATATGCACGACTGAAGTCACAGCTAACGCTCAGCTAAGGCGGTGCCTCGTGCCTGGTGCCTTCACGAGGTAATAAGTAGCAGAGTAGGCTCAACATAAACTTAGATTCTCAACTTAGAACAACATTTTCATTTGATTTGCCTGTTGGGCATGTGGTATGAGTCAAGGACGGTCGTTCGTTTTCTTCACGCTTGAGTGCTTTTGGCTTCAGTGGCGCGATTGCGCACGCGGCACTCACCTCGTCAGAATGTTCCCATTTGCAGATGTACATCATTCGAGCCAAGAAGGTTTCGCACTTTCGAAGTCTAACATCAATGTGCATAACGATCACTCCATTGAAATACACACATATAAAGAGCAGGCAATCAATTCCCTTTCCAATCTCTTAATCATCATGAACAATCATTGCAAAATTTCTGCGAGAAATGAATCGTTCCGGTGCTAGCCTCGACACTTCATTTGAATAGGTAGGATCCCCTATGGCAAAATTTGATGAACTTGTTTCATTCTGGGCCTTGGGGTTGAAGTCCAGGTAAGTATCGTCCCTCGCCGTCGACATCAGCCAGCAGTTTGATATTTAAATGACCATTACACAATTATTTGAGACCTCTTCGATTGAAACCCTGACGTAACATGTCATTAGCCAATGCAGTGTAAGCCCTTTGAAGGTTAGATCAGTCCTAATTGAGATCCTACGGCGCTACACCACTTGCTCAACAAGCCACTAAAGCCTTGTGAACTGGATGCATGAGCACTTTGACATATTCGTAGATTAATCAGAGCTTGCAAAGATGCATACTTGGCGGTAGTTCGCCATGTATTTAGACTCGCATCCAAAGATGGTAGTTCAAAATGAAACTGAGTTCTAGCTTCTTGGGAACGGCCCAACTGATCTCTAGCATGGCACCCTGCGTTAGACGCACACGAGCGGGATGTTGGCGTGAAAATGCGCTTTCCTCCTATCCTTTCCGTATAGTGGATGCAGCGAGTTTGTACGACTACTACGGCTATCGACGTCCATATTTGTGCTTGTAGGAGCACACACCCCCGTAACGCATCCCAATGGTGGCATGGACACGTCATTGTTGAGAAACTCGCGATGTTCTTTCGATTCACCCCTTTTGGATTGCACCAAGGCGGCACATGCATCTATACTGGAATGGTCATCTCCCAAATTGCTCGTGACCCTCCTTCCTGCTTGCACATCTATTGGAGATTTGATCTGAGGCACGTAGTTAACCTTCTTAAGTCCCATGTATGTCCACCTGATCAGACACCCTGCTGGAATTCAAAAAATGGTAGCAGCATGATCCTCGAAGCAGCACAATTTGGAGGCGCTGTGGACGAGCTTCAATTGCTAGATCATGTAATAATTTCACGAGTCTAACTCAATTATCTTCTTTCAAATCAAGTACGAAGACCTCCTTGAAGATCCGGTGTGCATATTTTCTCGACTGCCGAGAGAATTCAGCCGGCCGCCTGTCGTTTGGAAGACAACCACGATGTGTCAACCATCCTCTCGATTGCTTCAGCACGGACAGTATCACTTCGAGACAATCCAGATGGGTTGGGATCTTGGATATACCTTTTTTGGATGACAAGAGTCACTTTTTATCTACCCAGATGCGTTGGATAAAACATTAATTTGACTATAGGAAGGAGTCTCGACAATTCCAGTGCTCATTCTTCTGCACGGGGGACTCGGGACACCAGTCGCTATTCAGCTGCAATCCTACTTGGACGATCGATGGCCGCTTGTCACACTACAAGCACCAGAGTTACTCCCGCCGATGCAGCAATGACGTTTTGGGACGATGCTGCAGCGGGCGTCATACTACAATTCCCTATTATGCAATCTGTCATTGTGTGACATTCGCATCTGTCATTTGGTCGGTTACTCTCTTTCTGGACCACTGGCTCTCATACTAGCAGACCTGTGCTCTTTTGAGTGTTGATGGCTAATCCTGATTGACCCAGTTCCGACTTCAGGGATGATATGTGATCCTCCGAGTTGTAACGATCTTGTGTGGAAACGAGCTGCCACGTATGAATTTGTGTTTGCGACGTTGCTTCTTACTCGTGTAAATTTGCGCACTGCGATCCAATTAGGGGACATAACCACACTTAACACCCTAGAACTGCACGTAGGAAAAGTCACTCCGTAGCATATCTAAGAAATTTCCACGATCACCAGCGTGTCAATAATTTTGGCAGAGGAATACAATGCCTCATACATGTAGTGTCCCACAAAAGATGATGGTTAAGTTGCTTTTTTGACATCGCTACATGTGTCTGATTTCTATTCAAAAGCAGGTTATTTAAGTTGGGACCATGCAGATGGCATGCTTGGATGGCGCAACATCTTGAGAGGATGTAAGCTATTTGAAACAAGGCTGTCCTCCAGCCACGTCGACGTCTTTTCGCGCGAAGCCTCGCTTCTTCAGGTAGCTTCGATTGTCTCAGTACTGTATGATACATCTGAATCACATCCTTGCACAGAATAAAAATTGAATCTCCCTTGTCAGAATACCATAAAAAACGATTCTATGATCGCAAATACTAACTCGCATGACAACACTGCATGACGACTACTTCACTGGTACGAACCTCAGTAACAGTCTTGGCAATCATAGAGCGCGGATCATGAGTGGAATGGCTGGTCGATAATTAGTTCAAGCTGTTTGCGGGTTGGTCAATGGGTTCCCTTCGAAACAGCGTTGAGTACAGTTGGTAGTCCATGTCTTTTGTGGTTTTCTGGTGCGGCGACAAACTCTGCATTCAACGAAACTGATTGACATGGCCTTTCTGGCTACGAAAATGCCCTCGCAGTGCTTGATCACGACGAACTTTTGAATGCCTGATGCGCAACCTACTGAGGTTTACTCACGTCATCTGTCTTGGCTTCTTTAGCCCTTAAAAATCTTGGATTGGCTGCTGGTGACTGAATTTTTTTAAGCTTGCCCACGGGCCTTGAGGCAATCTGCTGGATTGTATCTGCAAAACGTCTCGGAATCATATACACGTGCATACCTCAAAATATACCCGTACAATCACTTGCTGATCGCATACATGATACTGGTGCCAAGGTATTGATTGCGAATGATGTCTCGGGATAGTGATTGGTGAACAGTGCAATGTCCGACTTTCATAGTGTACCAGAATTATTGAGGATACTGGGGACGGAAGATATTGCCAGTAGCTAGATTGCTGCTATGTGACGAGAGATACAGGACTCTATGACGATTTCAACAACTGCACTCAACGTTTTATTCAAACTCCTCGGTACTCCAAGTAGTGATGTTTCCGCTCGTATCTTCGCCAAACTAGAAGCCACACGTCCGCACCTGCAGGTGTTTGTCGACGATGTCCTGAAATTTGAGAACAGTCCGACCAAAACAAAGCACTCTCCCATGTTGAACGGTGATCATCTGCACGGGCCACATGTATCATTCGCTAACTCTGTTATGGACGAAGAACCTTGACCTGTGGAGGCGAATTTCCCTCTGTTCATTACCTATACGAGTGGAAGCACAGGAAGACCAAAGGGCATCGTCCACGCGCATGGATATCTGGCGGGTGTGATGATGACGATGCAATGCAGCTTCGAACCTATTCCAGGGACCGACATCATTTTTGTGCTTGCTTCACTTGAGTGGATCACTGGTCAGTCGTACATGGTGGCAGGAAGCCTTTCAAGTCGTGTCACAAGTCTGATTACCAGGTCAAACCCGGTCTCGCCGTATGTGGCACATTTTGCTGCGATGATCGATCAATATGGCGCATCCATTCTGAAAGGAGGTGTTTCATATCTTAAACTTTTGATGTCAAAGGAGCTAGGAGCTACGGAATTACGTAAATTCGACAAGTCGACCCTCAAGGTGGCAAGTTTCTGCGCCGAACCTTGTTCTCCTGCAGTTTAGCTCTTTGCGATGCGTCACATCACCCCACATTATATAAATTCTTACTGGGGAACTGAGCACGGCGGAATGGTCTTGAGCTGGCCCTACCAGGATGCTGGGTAGAACTTGGCACCAGATACTCACATGTGCGAGTATCCATGGATTTAGTTTTCATCCTGGGCTCCTGCTGACCACTCACAAAGATGAAGCTCATTCTGATCTGCAAATACAAATGACGTGGGTGAAGGGGTGATCCTAGCACCGTGGCCATACATGGCACGAACAACCTGGGGAGATCCAAGAACTGTCGGGCATTGAGATTGGCGAGGTGATGCTAAGCAATTTAAGTCTACGTATTTTGACCGATTCAACGTACCCGTATTTTTCCAGGGCGATACCGCAGTCTCACATGGCTCTGGCCACTTCTCAGTGCATGGTCGCTCAGATGACGTACTGAATATCAATGGGCACTGAATCAGCACAGCGCAAATTGAGGCCAGCGTGTTACGTGACAAGCTCAGACCCAACTCTCCAGTTGCCAATTGTATTGTGGTCGGAATTTCCGATAGGTTAACAGGTCAGAGCCCCTGGGCATTCATCACTCTGATGGAAAAATCTGTGTTGTCCATTCAAGACAGGTAGCGACTTGCAACCTACTGCGTTACTGACATTGGCGAACACGCTGTACCGTCGCAATTTGTTGTCATCGGCGATATTCCTGAAACCGCGACAGGAAAGTATATGCGCCGAGCAATACAAAAGACCGTTCAAGGCGAGTAAATTGGTGACTTGAGCGCTCTTCGCAACCCAGGTTCTATTGATCAACTTTAAACGTCCTTAAAATAACAAGTATCGAAAGGCATTCTCCGTATGGTCGAGCAAGACTGGCTCTCGCTACGAGTGACTCCAGTAGAGCCGAGACCGATCCCATGAGCTCATCCTGCGGTTTTTAGAATCACCAAAGAGCTCTTCTTTGCCATTCAAGGTACGGAGGTTGCTAGAGATGTACCACTCGTGGATGCTGGCCTGACTTCGCTGAGTGCTCTGAGGCTAGGATGATCGCTGCAGGATTAGCTTTCGGTCAATATTCCCGCAACACTTGTTTTTGACTATCCTTCTCTAGATTCTATTGTTTCTCACATCGCTTCGACCAAATTGGATGTTTGAGAAATCACCACAAACTAGCAAAATAAGCGCGAGGCTTTGCACACTGGGCTCGTATTGATCAGTGATTAATGTATATGCTTGCCCTTTCATGCTTTGAATGCAAGCTCACTCCGCAACATGATTGCTCGTGGATATGATACACAACGAAAAGTTCCTTTGCTGCGATGGAATTTAGAATCACTAGCTCATATGGTATCAACAATATATGGCAGCTTCAGAGTAATCCAGATTGGATTTTGCGGCTTGTCGAATATTGAAGCAAGCCACGTCGATCCTCAATAATTGATGCTGCTCGAATCAGCTTTTGAAGTTCTTTGTGATGTGAAGAATGTGGGTGTGTACGTGGGCATGGGGGCCTTGACAGGCTAATTCATGCCGCGTTCGAAAGCTCGTGAGACAACGATATACTCCGGGACTTCGATTGTCCTCTCCGTCGCATCTGGTCGTATTTCTTTCATGAACGGACTTGTGGGTCCTTGTCTTGCTCTTGACACAGCCTGTTGTTCCACCCTTGTCACCAAACATCTCGCGAGATCAGGCCTGGAATGAGCTGAGTGTACTCAGTCCATCTCAATTGGTGTTGGATGCCTTGAACAGGCGGGATTCTGTGCATTTTCAGCCGCTGGAATGCTATCATCGCATGGACGTTGTTACACATTTGATGTTTGAGCGGACGGCTACTGTCGTGCAGAAGGTGTAGTTTCTTGGTTTCTCGAATATACTGGGAACATACTTATCAATGGTTCCGCAGTATAGCAAGACGGACAAAGCGCAAGCCTAACGGCCCCCAACGGAGCATCGCAAAAGTGATTACTTGAAACTCTACAAGACGGCATCACTGTTGTGTAAGCGCTCGAAGCTCACGGCACAGGCACGGCGCTTGGGGATCCTATCGAGGTACGGCATTCTTGATAGATAGTGTGCGCTCGGATTTTTTCTATAATAGATGGGTGCTGTGACAGGAGCTTTGTGTATGAATTTAAAGTTGGTACATCTCGCATCCCTGAAGGCAAATGTCGGCCACCTTGAGGCATCTGCGGCTGCTGGGGGAATGGCTTCTCTTGTTCTTATGCCTCTCGGCATTTGTGCAGTTGCCAAAAATATACAATTATATCGGTCTGGGCAATGTCCTGGGTGTGATGATAGAGATTTGAACTATAGGCTGAACTTCCACCTAGTTGCCTTAGTGTCATTGTCATTTCAAATGCCAACTGAGATCTCGACATAAATTGAAGCTTAGTCGTCGTCAGGTCGGCTGAGTTCATTTGGTTTCAGTGGGACCATCGCTCATGCGGCGTTTGTCCCTCAAGCTTGTTCGGAATTAGCCTAAAAGGGGACCAAATCAACTTCTGTCCACCGCGTTCAGACAGTGAGTTTGAGCTCGAGCAACCACTTAATGTTTGTCGCACACACTTCATGGATGGCACATTCAGTGAGTTGTTGTGATTTGCGACGCAATTGCGTGGTGAACGTCACGTCATAGCCTGGGCTATTGCAGGGGCAATTGCAAACAAAAAAAATTTGGGCGGGGGCTGATGCGATGCTGAGCAATGATACATTCGTTCGGAGTCAAGTTGCCCGGTCACCTCGGATATATCAGATTGCGCAACGTCACGACGAGGATTTGTTTTTCAAGGATCCATGTGCTGCCATGCACAGAGGGGCCCACTGTCATTTCTCCCTTCCTCATTATAATCTATACCTCGTACGACGAGAATCGAGCACCTCTGGGTGATGATCGCGACTGACACTTTCAGGCACTCGGGTATTTTCTATTCGTGTATGATTGTCCCCGTTCATTCCAAAGACTTCGCACTCAGCACTGAGGTTGTTGTTCTTGCACGGCATGGACACATACGCTGAATTTTAGGTGGGGTCTATGATTCACCAGTGATGGATGCAGCAATAGATGATAGAGTGGGTCACAATGAGCGCTCCGAATCAGGGAGGTGACTTTTCGTTGGGAGCCGGTGGGAAGTTCTTGCGTGAACAGTTCGGGTATGAGCCACTAAAGTCACGGTCATGGCGCCTCATAACACAATACTCCCTGACAAGCGCAAGCTAAGCCGAGATGTTTTGTCGCATTCGCAGAGCGACGGAGGAGAATGATGGCAGATATGGGCTCAGGGATGACTGGAAACGAGCATTCTAGCAAACAATACAGTTGGAGAGGGACTAGGCGCCCATCCACGGTTTTGCGGGTATTAGCGAAGGTGCAACAGTTGCATCCATTCTACTCGCACGGCATGCCCAAGACGTCGCAAGCAGCTTCCGTGGGCGTTTGCTGGTTAGCGTCTCCGCACTGACGTCGCCTGCTCACAGTCAAATGTACGAGGAGGGACAAACAAACATGCAATGTCTCCATTTAGTTGGGGATAGTGACACGGCGGATATCTAGCACATGGTTGGACTGACAGCGGGGCTCTTTGGATCTGACTCTGGTGTCTACGTCTTCCGGGGGGGACATAAGCTTCCAAATCTGAGCCACCGGCTTGTTCGAGTGTTAGGTTCAGCTCAGTTGACTGTCCTTGGCAAATCCATCTAGCTTCCATGTCGGCCCATGCAATCAACAAGCTACAATCTCCAAGTCACGACAGAGTATAGTCATCTACGGACAAGAGCGGACAAGTTCATTAGTTCCATGGTGATTTCCCGTTCCCGAGTTGTGGATGCAATCTGGAACGAGGAACAAATTTTGCATGTGACAGATGGATTTGTACGCGCGGCTACTTTTATTTGAACTATGCTAGAAGTCATCACGTGCCACGCTCTCGTGCATTCAAATTGCCATGACAAGCCAGATAATTCAACAGTGCGACAAGCAGGCTGCAGTCTGAATTCTGGCTTTGAAGTAGATATTGCAGCCCCCATTCTTGTGGCACTTGGCCCGTATCGGCACGGGGACGTTGATTAGTTTGCGGATTGGTACGTCAGTATCAGAGGAGAGGTCCATTATTCAAAGTCCCACGCGTGGGACGCTAGTGCTCTGGCCTTCAACGAGAGGGATGCACTGATTTGACTGGAAAAGTGCGCATCGACCCTGAAGCATCTCAGAGTAACTGGTGTTTGAAACTTTCTTGCCTCAATTCGTTGAAAAGACACGCTACACGCAACGCGGGATGACGTCCCATTTATGGCCATTTATGACGTAAATAGGAGGGTAAGAGAAGGGGGGCAAAACTACGGGGATGAAGTCAATTTCGCTGAATCAAGGATCCTCACCTCGAGCCTTCACGCCATCAAGGAGCGCAGCAATGTTGTGGCTAGCCCTGAGAGGTCTGATTCACAACTAAGCCAAATGTAGATGGAGATGGCCAGTTTCCTTGTCTTTCGTCCAGCGCTCATCCCAAACGAAAGGTTTTCGTGCTGTTGGAGCATGAACCGCGTGATGGTAATAAAACACAGCTCATGTATCCGGGTACAGGATTACATGATCTAGTATTGTACTGGTGTGGTTTTTGACTTTTGTCGCGTTGCAATCGCAGGGCCGGTTTCCCCCTTTGCAATTTCCGTCAAAGCTCCAATGTTTGCTATAAGCAAGGAAATGGCATCTTGGAACACAGTGACGCTGGGTGATATATTCATGGTGCAGCGGAGCCTCGATGCAGCGGGGAGCTTTTCCAATGCAGGCCACGTCATCAATGAAGAAGATCTTGCTCTGCGAATTGTGGTCTTTATTGCAAAAATACTTGCAAGAAACCACGCTACTATTGCCATGGCTGGAAGCTCTGCATAGTCCTGGGTCACGGCGGCTGTCCCCCTTGCAGCTAGACCAGTACTGGGCATAGGATGTCAAATTGACATCGTCGCTAGCTAGGTTACACTTCACATTTGCTTGACCAGTCTGACTTGGATGCGCGCTCTGACTGAAATCTTAGGAGTCATATCGAATAGTGGAGTTGCAGTAATGATGCATCTTGCGCGTCACGAGGGGGGTCATGTCGTCTGCCAACCACTCTGAAGCGGACCACTTGTCACCACAACATTCGTCACCACAACTGTTTCTTCTGATTTATCAAGCTTCCATACAATGATTACTCTTCGTAATCTTTCGACAATCATGGTCTCCGGGACGAAAGTGCTGTACTCTTGCGCAACAACGTTGCTCGCTGATAGCCTGGAAACATCTCAAGTGAGGCTCATTGACAAGTTAAAACCAGACGAGCGGGGGAAACTGGACACGCGACCTTTCGAGTCGAATACAAAACTTCCACCTTCCACGTGTGTAAGCCACGCCTTGAGCAGAGCAGCCCGTGTAATGCTAAAAATCATGTAACGGGAACCGTCGAGGAGCACCAAAGCAGCTATGATAGCATGGAATGACCCTGGAATAGCCTTGCTTGAGCTCAATGACCCCCATACCTTCAATGCTATGACGGAAACTCTCTTGCAGAACCTAACAGTCCAGCTATCGGCAACGTTTGCTTCCTAGTCCCTCCGTACTCTAGTCCTACAAGCTGCTGGTCCTCATTTCTGCACCGGGGGTCACTACGCAAACAGCATGTCAACATGTCCACCTTGGTGGATCAAGACACAATTCACATGCAGCAGTGGTTATCTTTTGGATCGGATTTGAAGTGCACCGCTTGTGTCGATCTCTGTGCTTCAAGGATTATCAATTGGTGGCGGATTTCTCCTGGGCCTAGCAACTGACCATCGCATAGCTACGTTATCTGCAACATTTCGGCTGGGCGTGGCCCGCCACGGCCTCAGTCCCGTTTTGATGGCGACTAAAATCCTACCCTCTCTGGTCGGGCCCTGACTGTCCATGGTGATGTTTGCAGAAGATTTGCAAATAAATGCTCCCCAGGCTGTAATGCGAGGCATTGCCGGCAGCATGCTGCTTAATGTACGGATGGCTAGGGAATTTGCGGCTTGTGCAGGTGCTTGAGCAGCGGCGGGCTTGGCGATGATGGTGGGTGTAATTGATAGAGACCTCTACCATTTTGTTTAAGAGACGATGCTCGGTGAGGAAACCAAGATCGGTGCAAGCATGGCGTCGACATCCGTGATTCTTAGGAGTCACAATACTACAACTGATGCGTCACCACCTCAAGGTCCCTTTTTGGGCGCCGAATGAAGATTTCATCAAGCGCGTAACAAATGAGTAACATCCTTTGTCCGTGTCCTAATTGCGCCGAGATTCGGCACTAGCCTCTGACAAGAGGATGTCCGGCCGAAAAGAGCTGGAATCGATTCTCTCGCCGCACCCGACATTGTGGATTCCATGGGTGGGAGGTTTGATATACACATGAGAGCAACATCACTGTATGGTCGTCCTCTATAAAATCACATGGCCTCTGACGATACGAACCCGTGTGCAAGAAGTCCAGTTGATCTTCATGTTGGGGACCCCTAGTAAGTAGGGACTAGATCAGAATGAATTGCTCTTGAGCCTGAAATTGACTCAGCTTAATTACAACAATAAATCTTGTCTATAGTGACTCGCAGCCTGGGGTTGGATATCGGTGCTGACGCGCCTCTCATGGAGGCGGGTGTGGACTCGCTCGCTGCACTGGAACTCTCAAATTGACTTCAGTCAGAGCTTTGTCTAGACATCTCTGCAATGCTCATCTTTGATCATCCAAGCGTATCATCTGTTGCTTCCTACCTTGTATCCAATTTTGCTCGCATCGAACTTTCATTGACATCTCGTTCGTTGTTTCATGCGACGTCGATCAAGAAAGAAAGCGGAGACACACCAAGTCCACCGATTCTTGTCTCCCAAATTGTTCGTGGTGTTGTTATTGTCTCATACAATCGACCACAGGAAAAAAACCCATTTGATGCCGCATTGTCAAGCGCACTCGTGTCTGTCCTTGACAAACTTAATACTGACCTACAATTGTCTGCAGCCATCATCACGGGACGTGGAGGCTACTTCTGTACGGCAGCCAAGTTCGACGAGCTGCTTCGTCCTATTCATCCTGTGTGGCTACATACGTCTCTCGTGGCAGGCATCGTCATGTTGTTTGACTCGTTCATCACGTTCAGTAAACCCATTGTCGCAGCCATAAACGGTCCAGCATTTGGTGGTGGTGTGACCCAGGCCACGCTGTGCGACATGGTACTTTCCCTGCGTCACGCTAAATACTCACTGACTTTTTCTCACTGGAAGGTGTCACCAGAGGGTTGTGCTTCCGTACACCTGGCTCGTGTCATTGGCATTAGCGAGGCAGGGAAAATGCTGGCGGGTGCATGGATCCCTAGCTCAGCTGTTGCAAAGAGCATTGGTCTGGTATCCGAAGTTGTGGCCGATCTTTCGACACTTCTTGGTACGACTGACAAATGAATCTGAGAGCTCATCTCCGATTTCTACCCTCGCTCCTACAGGAACCTCGCGGGAGGATGTGAGATATGCCAGGAATACAGCACCACAAGCGCCTAGGAAGGGATATCCCTCGCAGATGCTTGCCTATCTCCCCCCTTTCTAGTGATCTAGTCTCAACTTCCCACATCCTCGATATATTTTGCGAAGCTTTGCCTGTTTATGATAACGATGTCGCCGCTTTCTTTGGAGTAGTTGGGCTCACACAACGGAAACAAATCATAGATGGAGTCGGTGATAGAAAAGTTGTTGATGCGAGCTTTCATGCCTCACGTGGATATTCCCCCAGGACTGTAGCAAACGTCAGGTGATTGCCTTCATGTTTTCTTTTCCGATCTTGAGTTTAAGTTACCTCCGAGTATTAGCAATGCAAGCCAGCTGCGAAATTTTATTGCAAATCGTCTGAATGCGACTTCACCACCCTCATGATGGGCTGTGAAGAGCTCACACGCTATTTCAGTAACTTATGGAAACTTTGTATTGAGGCGACTTTGTCTCGAACTCACTACGTGGGGGATGTCACACACGGAGATTTCAGTAGTTGATCCGTAGCAGCTTATCCTTTTGGAAACGAGTTACGTTGTACTAGCAAATGCCAGCTCAAGTAGCCACCGGCTTAGCAACACCCATGTGGGTGTCTACCTAGGAATTTCCGGGGCGCTGGTGTCATCAGGGGTTGCTGGTGATTCAGGGGCTGCTGGCGATTCTCATGATGCGAGAAATGTCTATGTTGGCACATCGGCTTCCATGGCCGTCGCTTCTGGCCGTATTTCGTACACACTTGGGCTAACTGGCCCATGTTTTCCTGTGGATACCGCATGCTCAGCTTCTCTTGTTGCAATTCATGTTGCTTCTACTGCATTGAAGCTGGTAGAATGTTTGTGTGCGTGCGTATGCGGTGAAGGACTGTTGGAACAGGCAGTGTTTGTTGCATTTAGCACCGCAGGAATGCTCTCTCCCTTGGGTCGATGTCACACGTTTGATTGCCGCGCTGATGGATACTGTCGCGGCGAGGGCAGCGGTGCGGGCTTGCTGTCTTCCGGGAATCTTCGAAGCGTAATCGTGCTTGGCACTGTGGTGCAGTAAGATGGCCTGAGTGCGAGCCTGACTGCACCAAATGGTTCATCACAAAAACGACTTGTTGCCTCCATCAGAGATATTGGTGCCGCTGCTCTGGCATTGGAAGCGCATGGCACTGGCACGACACTTGGAGATCCAATCGAAGTACTTTCATCATCATCGCGACAGACCATTGCAAGCACCGTTTGGATAGGTTGGCGCTGTCATGGGGGCCTTGTGCATATCCTCTTGCCCGTCGAGGGTCCAGATACATTGTGCCTCTTTGAAGTCAAATATGGGCCACTTGGAGCCAGCGGCAGCTGCCATTGGCCTCATATCTCTTGTGTTCCTGCCTCTAAGCATGTGCGCCATTGCAGTGAATGCGCAGATGAATCAGCTGCTCCCCCCCTAACAAGAGAGTTTCCAAGCTTGGGAATGTCAGGTTGAACGCACACCTAGCATCAATCCTCTTGCCATCATTTGAGATGCCCGTCGAGGTATTGTGTGAATGTTTTGCTCAGTGCTCATCGGTGGGTCGGCTCAGTTCGTTTGGCTTCAGTGGGACTATCACGCACGGCGCATTTACTTCCTTGGCCTACAAGAAGCAAAACGACAAAGAAAGAGATAAAACGACATCTCACTTCCGCAATTCTTGAGACTTGCCCTCCGAGAGGTACAAAGCCGTCCATTGGACCGATGGGATCTTGATTAGCTCGGGTTCTTTGTCCGAGACTGTGAGTGCCACTCTCGCTAGTCATGCTATTTCAGGTAGCATCATCCTGCCCGCTGTCAGCTATACTGAGCTTGCTCTTGAAACACTTGATCATGGAACGTGTCTGTTTGGTCTGTTCATCGTACGGCCATGCCCGCTGCCATCGCACAGATCTGATCAGTGCTTGCTGTAGTGCACAGGACGAACGTCAGAAACATTCGCAATTGAGAGTATGGCGACGAAGAACGATGTCAGTTTCATTGTCCATGCTATTGGACATTGTAGAGGTGCCAATCGGATGACGACCACAGATGGCTCAATGCGAGCTGTCCAGAACTCGAGTTTTAATTTATTTGGAATCCTGCAGACTGAATACTAATAATTTCGCAGCCCGGCGGGCTAAAAATGATATGGAATCTTCTCTGAAAATGCCCTACAAGCTGCTGTTTGCGTCGCGAGTTCCTGGCAGTAGAGGAGTAGCAAAAGTTTGCAGCGGTGGAAAGAGTCGGACGTAACCAAGCAATAATCTTCGAGCAATATCTCCCTGTCAAAGGCAGCCTGGCTGCACGCATGCGCGTTTATTTGACAAGCACTGCCGGATTAGCTTGCCAAATACGTCCTGCCAATATCTGGGCTGCTAACTCAACCACCTGCTTTGTACATCCGCCATGGCAGTGTGTGTGCGGCTGGCTCCTAGCAGCCACGGTCTGTATGAAGGTGCTCTTCTTTGCTGTAGTATGGTCTTGAATGTCATTCTGGTCAGGAGCAAATCTATGATCGGCGATTTTAAAGTGCTGTCATGTGAGCGCCTCAAGAGATCCCTCAGAAAAGATTGCCCTTAATTCCACTAGAAGTGAAGTTGCATCTACACCTCGCCGCATTATAGCGGCCGCGTACCTCCCAGCTGAACGACACGCCGTTTGCATCGGCACACCATGCGTTGTGTAAGCGGCACAGTCTCCTTGGACGTGCTTGGGCAACGAAGCGCACCGTGCTTGCGTTTCGTGCTTTCATCAAGAGCGCCGCCATAGCAAGTACAATGGCACCAATCTATCAATCATGTAGCTCAAGGGGACTATTCCAGAGGTCTCGGATGCAACCCACAGGCTGGCGGGCGCGAGAGATACCTCAAGTGTTGCCACAAGTAGTCAGGTGCATTTGATTAGTAATGGGAACTGAACTTTCCGTGGACGCCCCACTGATGATGGCTGCTGGAATCGACTCCCTTGGTGCTACCGAAATGCAAGAGAAGCTAAGCGAAAGATTTAGTCTCGTGCTCCCGACCACACTACTCTTTGACTATCCATCGATTAAGGGAATTGCATCTTTTTTGGTTGAGAGGAGTACTGGTTGGGGCGGAGCTCTGGCAACAGAGACGGCTCATTCAGCCAAAGAAGAAACAATCATCAACGTGAAAGGGCATCGCCCATCGCCGGAAATGTGGTCGAACAGGATTCTCTCGAAATGGTGAGTAGCAGCAAGTACGATAAGATTTATCTATTTGCATATCAAACTGGGTGGCAAGGTGACAAGGTTTGTCTCCATGCGCGAGCTTGTGATCCGGACCTTGGTCACGGCTTCCGATGTTCCCATTCTTTGATGGGCTGCTACTCGAAACAATGCAGAGAACTATGGATCGTTTCTTCTAAGTCAACTTCAAGTGGATTTTTAGTCA